CCGCACAACCCTAATCTAAGCATGTGACGACTTACTATATACAGGTTCAACACAAAGACAACAGCCCTTCTTCTTGCGACATTTTACGATCGAACTTCTCTTTGTCTAATTGCATTGCCGAACACATTTTCATTTATTTTGTATTACGTAAATAAATACGTTACAAACATTCTTACTTGTTGTTTCTTATATCTAAAGAAACCCGCAACAAATTGGTGACCCCGAACGCGATGGCTTGCGAAACCACGACAAAGAGAACAGCGACGAGAGTCCCACTCCAACTAAACACATTCAGCACGGCGAACCCCAAAGCGTGGTTCACATATTTTGAAAATGTGCTTAAGGGCCGAGGTTTCTCAGAAGAAGATTGAATGGTACCCCACGCTGGTCGAAAGCCTACCCATGGATGTCATCATAGATGTGGAGAAGGAATTGGCGTCGGCACAAACTTACACCTCACTGAAGCGCGTGTTAACGTAGAGGTATTCGGCTTCAGACGAAGTAAATTTGCGCACTTTGCTTCGAGGCGTGGCCATGGAAGACAGAACGCCATCACAACTATTGAGGCACATGCAAAGCCTGTGGGGGGCAAACAATAGAGACGATAGCATTTTGAAACAATTGTGGTTGGACCAGCTACCATCCGCAATACAAATGCATCTAGCAGTCTCAACCGACGAGACGCTACAAAGGTTAGCGACCATAGCTGACCGAATGCATCAAATATCCAATCGAAATGGTTCTACCACCATAACACACAACGCCGTAACAAAATCTGGTACCGAAGAGACAACGACTAAGAGAGATGAGGTATTTGCATTCAGGCGCAAACATCAACAACAACAACTAACGAAGACAAAATTCCCATCTAGAGCAGCAGATGGTGAGGAGACAGATGTTTGCTGGTACCATAAAACGTATGGGGACAGAGCAAAAAAGTGTGCGAGACCATGCAACTACAAAGCAAAAGTCGCCAAGTCGTCAAACTACCAGGCCAAGTTGCTAATGGCGGCGGCAACCTCTGGCCACAACACTTTTAGTCGCCTACATCATGTACAAACATCGAATATCAACAAACATCAACAAACAAAAGTAGTGACAAACAACAACAAACAGCCGCAAAAACAACAAGACACCACATCAACATTCAACAAACCGTGTCGCCTTTTCTACGTCACCGATAACATTTCAAAGACAAGGTTTTTGGTCGACACAGGAGCCCAGGTAAGTATCATACCTTCACGACAACACCTCAAAAGACCCAAATCTGACTACAAACTGCAAGCAAACTGGCACCACCATCGACACATTTGGACAACAACTCGTAACCATCGACCTCGGTTTACGACGTAAGTTCAAATGGGTTTTCATCATTGCAAACGTCACACAGGCAATATTGGGTGCCGACTTCTTGTCACACTTCGATATTGCAGTCGACATGAGGAGACACAAAATTGTTGACAACATCACGACGTTACAGATACAGGGGGTTGTTGAACGCTCCAATATAATCTCTGGCGTCAAACCATACATTGCTTCGGACAACAACTTTGGTAAAATCATTGACAAATTTCCTAAGTTAACGATGCCTGTCAACAACAACATAAATGAAAACAAGATACAACACCACATTGTGACTTCTGGACCACCACATCATACGGCCCCACGACGATTGCACCCAGAGAAGTTGCGAGCCGCCAAAGCCAAATTCGAATCCATGTGTCAACTCGGAATCATAAGACCGTCAAACAGTCCTTGGGCATCACCACTTCATATGGTTAGGCACCCCTCGTCCTCTAGTTCCAACAAGCATGCGGAAATCAGTTTTTCTGAATTTCCATTCCCTGTCACATCCAGGGGCAAAAGCAACATCGAAATTAATTTGAGCCAGGTATGTTTGGCCCCACATTGATAAAGACATCCGTAACTGGTGCAGAGAGTTTTCCAAACCCACGGCCAGAGACAACCGATGTACACACCTATGCACTAAAACTCAAAAGCTGGGCGGAGACCCTAAAAGCAACACAACCAAGAACAAGTACAAATGTGAGTTACATTCCAAAAGACCTCTTCACTACAGAACAGGTCTTTATTCGTACGGATGCTCACCGCTCACCACTACAACCTCCATACGAGGGACCCTACACAGTGGTAGAACGACACCCAAAATATTTCGTC